TATGGTCTCTTTAGGGTATATTCCCAGTAGTGGAATTGCTGGGTCAAATGGTATCTCTATTTGCAACTTTTTGAGAAAGCATCACACCGCTTTCCACAGTGGATGCACCATTTTACACTCCCACCAACAGTGAATAAGGGTTCCAGTTTCTCTACAACCTCGCCAGCATTTGTTGCTTGCTGGAATGAACTGAATTTGATGCAAAATAACTTGGAAATGTAGAGCTAATTCATTTGATAAATTATGAATTACATATTTAACTATATGATGTTTTGTTGCTTAAAACATTATTCTCTGTAGTGTTTGTCACAAATTGTTTTAGATAGAAAAATGAGTGTGCTGGTCTTTTCTAGAGGGTGCTTTTGCTGGGAGTGCTTCCTTTGCTCCAAGGAATTAAAGAAGAGCACAAGAATAATGAGGACATGAGTAATATAATATTAGTACAAGAGTTGGCAGACTGGTAAACTGGGTTTAATGATGCTGTTTATCACAGGGAAAGCCACAGCCCCTTTACCCTCAGACTTCCTCATAGCTAGGTGTATCTTTTCATTCTCCCTTTGAAAGTAACTTCATTTCTTTTCAATCCTGTTGTTGATGCTCTGGAGTTAATGACAGTGGGTAGCAACCTCATGAACAATGGCTCTGAACCTTGCCCTATCTTGAGCCAACTTCTCTGACACACGGAACCCCATTGCCACAGTCACTGTTTCAGTTCATCCCATCCAAGGTCTTCCTCTCTTGGACTGACTCCTTACCCTTCCAAGTATGATGTCCTTCTCCATGGACTGGGCTATCCTGACAACATGCCCCAAGTATGTGATGTGGAGTATCAAAATCCTTGCCTCCAAGGAGCAACCTGGTTCACCCTCTTCTGGACAAATCTGTTTGTTCTCTTGGCAGTCCGATGGTATGTTCAGTACTCTTTTTTGACACCACAGCTCAAAGGCTTTGATGATTCTTCTGTCATCTTTAGTTACTGTCCAGTTTTAAGATGTATAGCAAGCAATTGAGAAGACACCTCGATCAGGTGCACCTTAGTCTGCAGACTGTCATTGTTGCTCTTTAGCACGTTGGAGATATCCTTGAGACCAGATTTTCCCAATGCAACTCACCTTTTGATTTCCTGACTCCTGCTACCAAGGGTATTATAGATGGTAGATCTGAGCAAAATTCCACTTAAAAGAAGTAAATTGGCTAATTTGCCAATTTCAGCCATATAGTTTTGATTGCTACTCAGTGCATGTACTGTTTAAGCAAGTTCTTAGTGAAGACTGTTTTCAATAGAGCATAGACCAGATGTTATTCTAATGGCACGTGTAAAGGCATTTACTATTCATAGAATCACCAGAAAAGGAATAAGTATAACATTTTCACCACTCAAAGTTAAATTCTAATCCCAGGGTATATTGTTGTATCAACATCAGTGAATTTCCTTACTTTGCTCCACTGAAGAATTCCAATGTTCTTCTCTTATGAGGTTAGTGTACTAGCAAGTAGGCATGTGTACATGCCAAACAGCATGTAGAGAGGACAAGTAGGGAAAGGAATAATAAAACATTAAAAAAGGTACTGAGATATTTAAACATACAGATACAACTCTGGCTATGCTCACCAGGTTTGTGCCAAACTGAAGAACAGCTACCTGGCCAACTGACTGGTAGAGACACATATTTATTCCTCTTCCCAAAAATGTGACCCAAAAGAATGTGAACATTATAAAACAATATTACTAATACCATGTGCAAGCAAAATCTTGCTGCAGATTATCCAAAAAACAGTGCATCAACAGAGGAATGCCATAAATACAAGCTGGGTTTAGAAGAGGCTGTGGCATTCAGGATATCGTTGTTGATATCAGATGGATTTTGGTTGAAAGCAGAGTGTACCAGAAGGATGTCTACTTGTGTTTATCCACTATGCAGAGGCATTTGTCTGTGTGGATCACAACAAATTGTGGCAAACATTGTGAAGATTGGAAATCCCAGAACACTTGATTGTGCTTATGTGAAATTTATTCTTAGATGAAGAAGTTGCTCAAACAGAGCAAGGAAGCACTGCATGGCTTAAAATCAAGAAAGGAGTGCATCACAGAAGTATTCTTTCTCCATATCTTTTCTTTTTTTTTCTCTCTCTCTCTCCATATCTTTTCAATCTATATGCTGAACAGATCATTCAAGAGGCCAGACTTTATGATAAAGAATGTGGCACTGGGATCAGAGGAAGACTCATGACATAGCAGCATTGCTTACCCAAACATATGCCGCAGAAGATCAAGGACTGCAGTTTTCAAAATGGATTGCATCTCAACATCAAGAAAACAAAAATCCTCACCACCAGACCAATAGACAGTAACATAATACATGGAGAAAGAATGGAAATTGTTAACAATTTCATCTTGCTTGGATCCTTAATCAACACCCTTGGCACCAAGAGTCAGGAGAGAAAACAAGTAGTTGCATTTTGAAAATGTGTTCTCAAAGAGCTCTCCAGAGTGCTAATGAGCAACAATGTCAGTTTAGAGACTAAGGTGTGCCTGCTATAGGCCATGGTCTTCTTAACTGCTTGCTATGCATCTCAGAGCTGGAAAATGACTAAAGATGACAGGAGAAGAATCAATGCTTTTGAGTTGTGGTGCTGGAGAAGAATATAGATTGTCAAGAGAACAAATCTGTCCTGAAAAGGGTGCAACCAGTTCATTCCTGGGGAGCAAGGATTTTGTAGCTCCATATCACAGACTTTTGTTTTCAGGATGGCTCAGTTCTTGAAGAAGGACATCATGCGTGGAAGGGTGAGAGTTAATGCAGGAGAGAAAGACCCTGGATAAGATGTATTGATACAGTAACTGTGGCAGTGGAATCACACCTGTCAGAGATCATGAGGTTGGTTCAGTCATAGTTGACTTGAGGGCACATAACAACAACAATATCGATGTGTAAACAGCAAGTGCTACATGGGGACCACCATTACCTACTCCACAAAGGGGAACGACCCTGTCAACAACAGTCAAAATATGCAACAAGTACACATGACATCAGACCTATCTCCCACGCTCCCTACCTCTTTCTTCTCATCCCAACACCAATCCTACTGCTCTGCTGGGTCCCAAATCCAATGTGATAGCTCACAGGCTGTACATAACCATATTTGGGAAGTCAAAAGGTTATTATTGATATTAGTGGGAGAATACAGTCAAGAGAGTTTGCAAAATGTGCTCACAGGCAACTTAGCTAACAAGGTTGTATCTTCTGGAGGCAATGAGTCTTCTTTTAAGTCCTGATGCCATTTTCTTCTTCATTATAGTTCTGTTTTTTAATTATTTGCTTAGCATACAAACTGAACAGGCACACCTTCATTCACACCTTTCCTGATTTTTCAACCCTTTTTCTGTTCAAATACCTACTTCTTGGTCTTTGCACGAGTTTTTTTATAAACATAGTTAAGTGCTCTGGAATTATTTCCAGTGTTATCCATAACTCACTCTAATCCACATAGTTGAATACTTTTACACAGTCAATAAAACATAGGCAAACATCTTTTTGGTATTCTCTGCTTTCATCTAAGATCCATCTATCATCCGCTGTGATTCAATCCATCATTCCACATTTTCTGAAGCCACCTTGAACTTCTGACTACTTCTGTCATTACTACTGCAACTGTTTTTTAAAGAATTTTCATTATTAAAAATATTTTACATGTATGTTTTATTAAGAGCTGAAGATTCATTAAGATTTTGTATACATGTGATTTTTTAAAATTTTTATTGTATTATTTTTACGTGTACTG